AAAAAACAAGTACAGAAACACAAACCCGACAGTGAAAAAAGAGAGTGGAAATATGCATTTTCAACAAAAACAGCGGCGCGGGGGGAGAGGAAAATTTTTTTTATTTTGTTTTTAAAAGATCAAGAAAACAGGCACGCGACACACACACACACACACACACACACACACACACACACACACACACACATCCCTACACCCTGCGTACACACTCCTGAAAGCTATACATACATTCATATCATACTTACTAGCTTCTAGCACCAAGAGGAACGATGGTTTCAGTGTTGGCCTGACTCTGCTTCTGTTGTCTCATTCTGTACTGTCTGACAAAGTAGACACCAATGGCAGTAGCCATCACAGCAACCACGGCCGCACACACTCCCCCGACAGTGCCGTAGTACTTGAAGCCAGAATCTTCTCCTGGGAAAACACACACCGTGAGCTCAGGGATACATCTTGTACACGTTGAAACTTTCGACTACAGGGTGATAAAAAAGCAACAAAAAAAAAAAAGCAAAAACACCCCAAAACCAAACAAACAATAAAAGCGGCATAAAGTGGACCATCTTCTCCACCCTCGAGGATCTTGACTTTGCCGACGACCTTGCACCACTCCCGTACCAACCAGCACATGCAGGAAAAAAACAAACCGACTCCACAAATACGGGCTCCAGATTGTGTTAAAAAAAGCCAGAAGAAGACAAAAGGGATGACACTAAATGTGGGCTCCCCAACGCTGATCAGGGTGAACAAAGCAGACATGCCTATAACAAACACATTTACCTACCTAGGCAGCATAATCACAACTGACGGCGGCACAAACGAAGACATCATGAATAGACTCGGCCAGGCAAGATCTATACACAGAAGCATGATCAACATCTGGAAGTCAGGACAGTTTAGTATACAAACTAAGTTAAAGCTGTATAACAGTTGTGTACTATCCACACTCCTATATGGAGCTGAATGCTGGAGGACGACTGATCATGACCGTGCCAAGCTATCTTCCTTTCATACAACCAGCTTACGCCAAATACTCAGAATCTTCTGTCCCGACAAGATTTTCAACGCCGATCTATTACAAAAATGTAGGCAAGAGGACATGACCACCATAATAAAAAAGGAGAAGATGGAGATGGATTGGACATGTTCTGAGAAGAGAACCAGACTCTATTGTGAAGACTGCAGTCCACTGGACACCCGAAGGACGTCGCAAAAGGGGCAGACCCAAAGTGACCTGGAGACGCACAGTAGTGTCGGACATGAAGTCCTGGAATCATTCGAGGGTAACGCTGACCAAGATGGCCCAAAACAGACAGAGCTGGAGATCCTTTGTTGCTGCCCTAAACGCCAGATGGCGTAATGGGTAGTAAGTAAGTAAGTAAACAATAAAAAAAAAACAAGAACCAAAATTTGCAACTCCCGTTAAACTTTTACTAACTAAAAACAAAGCTGACTTATTTCACAAGGACTCACCACTTCGACTTCCTTTCCCTGATCGATCAACGGCTTGCAGACGGAGCCGAAAGCTTGCGCCGAGCCCATGGAGCGTCAGAATAACTCGGTCAGCGTCTATTGCAAATGTCTGGCCCTCAGAGTTGCTGCACAACTGGATGGCCAGAGAATACATAGGTCTATTCTTAGCAGAAATCATCTCTGGAAAGAAATATTATTAGACGGAATCTTAAGAAACGTTTGAGGATCTCAAAACCGAAGAATCCCATCTTTCCAGCAATTGGTACCTGGCGACTCTTCAAGCAGAAATAATTTCAACACTGAAAACACTATTTAAAAAAAAGAAACGAAAATTCCCTTGTCCGTGAAAAAGAATACATTCCTATCTGCAATTCTACAGTACATTTCTATTAATCTGTGTAAGAATTTCTCAAAAATATAACCCATTCACTCCAGTGAACCATTTCAAGAAACAAGATTTTACATTAGAGCAAATAGCAAAATAATACTGTTGTGTTAACAAGGTCACTCTTTCTCTTCACAGATAATTAGTCTTCTTTAATTAAAATGTACCCAAACATGACTTGTTGCAAAAGAGAAAGATATGTTCATTATTTTTTGTTCGCAACTGCATACGGTCAAATGAGTGCGTGGGTCTCAAGTTGGTTGTTTTCACATTAGTTCACAGCACGGTATGGTTTGACTTTGTATAAAGAAGTTAAAAATTCACCGTAAAAATCAGGAATTAAAACTATCTCACATTGTTAAAACCATTTTTTACATCTTTGAAAAAAGACCAGTGGTCTTTGTAAACAATTCTGTAGGATCAACGATGGAGAATAAATTCTTTAAATTAGTGCATGTTAAGTATTTGCTTGGGACTGTCCAAAATCCAGACATTGTATTAGGATGTGCTCGATCATTAGGTCATTAAGCCGGCACTGCATTGGGCATAAACTCTTTTTTACTCACCCCCCCCCCCCCCCCCCCGCTGCAGGAGGTATCTGTGTGTCAGGGAGGTGTGCCCAACACGCAGTTTTGTTGAAATAACTTCATCTCTTCTGAGGAGGCTTGAAGGTTTACGCTGAGCCGGCCAACCCAAGACAGTATTATGTCTTTTGACAGGGTGGAAGAAGGAGCTCGTTAATTTGGAGGCATATGAAGTTATTGCTAGTATCTTAAAGCTTGTTCATTTGTGAAAAAATATCCGTCTTTCTTGAATAGATAGAAAACGATATATTTTTGACTGAAAGAGGTGACAACAATAAGTGTGTTTCAGGATTGAGCGTGACAACAGTAAGTGTGTTTCAGGATGGTGCTTGACAACAATAAGTGTGTTTCAGGATGGTGCTTGACAACAATAAGTGTATTTCAGGATGGTGTGTGACAACAATAAGTGTGTTTCAGGATGGTGCATGGTGCGTGACAACAATAAGTGTGTTTCAGGATGGTGCATGGTGTGTGACAACAATAAGTGTGTTTCAAGATGGTGTGTGACAACAATACGTGTGTTTCTGGATGGTGTGTGACAAAAATAAGTGTGTTTCAGGATGGTGTGTGACAACAATAAGTGTGTTTCAAGATGGTGTGTGACAACAATACGTGTGTTTCTGGATGGTGTGTGACAAAAATAAGTGTGTTTCAGGATGGTGTGTGACAACAATAAGTGTGTTTCAGGATGGTGCATGGTGCGTGACAACAATAAGTGTGTTTCAGGATGGTGTGTGACAACAATAAGTGTGTTTCAGGATGGTGTGTGACAACAATAAGTGTGTTTCTGGATGGTGTGTGACAACAATAAGTGTGTTTCAGGATGGTGCACGACTTTTTTGGACACCCTGTATAAGCAAATTATGTATTGCATCTGGGGCGTGTCTTGCATAAATGGCAAAGGTAAAAAATAAAATAAAAAAGGTGGGGGGAACTTTTGAAGCGCGACTTCTTGGACACCCTGTATATATATATATATA